CTAGCCCTGCTGATTCTTTTTTTTTTTTTTTTTTTTTTTTTGTCTTTTTTTGTCTTTTTCCGTGTCCGGCAACGGATCGCAACCCTCAGTGTTGCCCCCGTACCGGACCGGGGACCGGCAACGGGATCGCAAGCCTCGGTGTTGCTCCCGCGCCTCGCTCAGCCAGTGAGCGGGAACCGGTCTGTATGTGGGATCCGAATCCTCGGAAGGGAGCGCCGCCGTGCTTCCCAAGCGGCGCACTATCCAGTGCGCCACTGGGCCGGCCCATGCTGATTCTTTATGTGACTAGAAAACCAAAAGTTCTTTCTCCTCTCGGGGCCTCAGTTTCTCTTTCAGTAAAACAGAGATGGTGGTCTTGCCCTCCTTTGGGAAATATGCATTTGAACATTTGTGAGACTGTAGATTTGAGGCTCCCATGTTGTCAGCCTGCTTGGGGGCAAAAGCTCTGCCTGCTCCAAGGCATGTGACAAAGGGCAAGTGGAGGGAGGCAGCAGAGGTCTCTTCTGGCTTGGGGCCCTGAGACTGGGCTGACATCTGTCATTAGCCCTGGCCTGTCATCTTCTCATCTGCAGAATGCTGAGCCCTGAGAGCCCTTCCAGGCCTGATGTCCCCTTTGTTCTGTTTTATGACATAGAGCTGGGAAGATTGGTCCTTGATGACATCCTGGGCAGAGCTCTCTGTTTCCTCTCCTCTGTCATTGGGTGACCCAGACACCCTTGAGGCTGGGTCATCACCCCAGACTCTTGGTCCAGGGTTCTGGCCCTTTGCTCCCAGAATGCTGAGGAGGTTAGCAGCCAGGCAGCCAGGGCCAAGCCCCTCCTTGTAAGTTTCCATCGCCTGGCCAAGTCCACAGAGGCTTCCCTTACTCTGTTTCTTGGACTCTGAAATCCAGGCAAGCTGTGTTCCCTGGAGGGGCCCCCAGTGCAGGATAGCTGCTGGGGCATGTTTCTTCTGGGCCTGGGCCCTCCTGGTTCCTGTCACCAGCTAGGTGCCTGGTTCCTCAGGCTGTTCAGGATTTGCCTAGGGCCCAGGGTTGTCCAGCCCCCAGTAGGACTGTGGGAAGGACAACCTGTCCATTAGACTGGATGGGTAAGTCAGTCCCGGGAAAGGGATTGTTATGGCTTGCGGCTCAGAAGCCCAGAATGTGTAGGAAGCCCAGACTCAGGCGGCCCCTCCACCATTTCAACCCCTGCTCCCAGGATGCTGCATGTCCTTGGGGACCCGGAGCCGCAGGGGCTGGTGGAGGGGGAGAAAGATGGGACAAGTTCCCCCACCACCTTCACTCAGAGCATCTCTGCCCTTGTGTTTCTGTCTATAAGATTTCATTTGAAGGAAGGGTTCTAAGTCTGAAAAGATACTGGCGGCCACTTGTGTTAGTTTCCTTTGGCTACCATAACAAAGTACCGCAGACTGGGTGGCTTGAACCAACAAGCGTATTTCTGATTTGATGTATATTTCTCACAGTTCTGGAGGCTAGAAGTCCAAGATCGAGGTGCCAGCAGGTTTGCTTCCTTCTGAGGCCTCTCTCCTGGGCTTGCAGATGGCAACCATCTCACTGAGTCCTCACATGGTCTCTCCTCTGTGCACACCCATCCCTGGTGTCTCTGTGTGTCCAAATGTCCTTTTATGAGGATACTAGGCAGATTGGATTAGAGCGCACCTTATACGCCTTGTTTTAACTTAATGACTCCTCTCTCTATCTCCAAGTATACATTGTGAGATACTTGGGGTTAGGACATTAACATCTGAATTTTGGGGGGACACAATTCAGCCTATTACACCTCTCATCTTGTCCAAGAACTTCGTGTTACAGAAGGGGAGATTGAGGCCCAGGGCGGAGGGGTTTGTGGCCACATGGCAGGCCCGACTAGAGCTTGGGTCTGGTGAGGGCGCTGTTGTGAATGGACTTCTCTTTGAGCAGAGTGGCGGCTGTTGTTCCTCTGCTCAAGGACTCACACTCAGCTCTCAGGGGAATTCCCCCAAAGGGAGGTCTGGGCATCTAGATTTGCCAAAGTTGTAAATCTCTTGAGCCATTAACCGCTCCTTGGCATCTCCCAAGTGCCCTGATGTGAAATACAGATGTTCTTCCCTTTCAAGACCCAAGTGCATTTCTGAATTTCCCATCATGTTTGCACCTAAGGATGCAATTACCATTTCCTCCCATTGTCCTTTCTGCTTGCCCCTGTGCTCCTGGCTGACGCAGGCTCTGCAGCCCGCGGGTGAGCACGAGTCTGTGGGCTTATGAAGATCTGACTGCTTCTGAAAGCTTGGGGTGGCCCGGGGCCAGCGATGCTTATCAGTCCACCCAGGACTCCTTTGAGGTTATTTTCTTCTTTTCAGAAGATGCTTGTGTATGCTGGGGAGAGCGCTTCCATCAATTCTTCTGCCTTAGCTAGCGCCAGCCGAGTGCTATGCTCTATGTGAGTCACTCCCGAACGGCCCCTTCCTAGGCCTGCTGGCTGTCTCTGGTGCATGAACCTCAAAGGCCCCTTCCAGAGGACCCCCAAGCCATAGAGGTCCTCTGTGGGCTCCTCCCATGGTAACCACAGCTATCTTCTCACGTGGACCACAAACCTTCCCCATTTGGCCATGGTTATCCTTCCAGAGGACCCCCAAGCCATAGAGGTCCTCTGTGGGCTCCTCCCATGGTAACCACAGCCCATCTTCTCACATGGACCACAAACCTTCCCCATTTGGCCATGGTTATAAAAAAACCACAAGAAAGCGTTTTCCTGCAAGTATTACAGAGCTTGAGTTTCTAAACTTGTTTGGGAAGGATATAGGGACAAGGGTGTGTGTTTTAGGTTTTTGGGCTTATGGCAGATCTCAGATTTAAAGCTTAAATTGAGACCAGGTTTCTCTTCTCTTTCACTAAAAGGAAAAATAAACGTTCTGATTGCTAAGCCCTTCTTATCCCTGGGCTGCCTCTCAGTGCTCTCTTTGGATGGATGAAGGAAGCAAGCCATGCCCTGGGCATAGTGCTGGGTGGGTGGCATGCCCCCCACAGCCATGTACAGCAGTGGAGGAGACCGGCCTGGGTGCCCCCTTGGCACCTACCTCTCTGAGCTGCTTTCCACATCTATAAAATAGAGTTAGTTAATTCCTACCTTGCTGTGGGGTTGGAAGGTTAAAACCACCATCTGCTGAGCATGGTCAGTGGATAGTAGCTCCTTTACTGTTTATTCATTAAGGGGCTCTGTTCAACAATACAGCAGTCCCCCCTTATCTATGGGGGACACTTTCCAAGACCCTCAGTGGATGCCTGAAACTGCAGATAGTACTGAACCCTGTATATACTGTTTTTTCCTATACAGACATACCTATGGTAAGGTTCAATTTATAAATTAGGCACAATAAGAGATTAATAGTAATTAATAATAAAATAGAACAAGTATAACCATATACTTTAGTAAAAGTTAGGTGTATGTGGTCTCTCAAAATTATTTTCAGACTGCGGCTGACTACGGATAGCTGGAACCATTGAAAGTGAAACTGTGCAGAACAAGGACTAATTTAGGGTAGCTAAAAGGAACACGTCTTCATGGTGACAAGCCAGGCAGGAGGGTTTTGAGGCTCAGAGAGGGATTTTTGCCTCCTGGTGCTCATTACCTCGGACCTCACCTGTGGCAGGGCCCCGGCTGACTGGGTCACCCTGACTTGTTCTGGTCCCCAGTGCTGCTCAGCCCTAGAAATCCCTTTTTTTGGCTTGAGGAATTTCTTGTGCCAAGGGGGCTTTTCACCTTGTGCCTTTTTTTTTTTCCTTTTTGTCTTTTTTCGTGACTGGTAACGGGATCGCAACCCTCAGTGTCGTGCCCGCACCGCACTCAACCAGTGAGCGGACTGGTCTCTATATGGGATCCAAATCCTCGGCGGGAGTGCCGCCGCGCTCCGAAGCGCCGCACTCTACCGAGTGCGCCACCGGGCCGGCCCCACCTTGTGCCTTTTTTTTTTTCCTTTTTGTCTTTTTTCGTGACTGGTAACGGGATCGCAACCCTCAGTGTCGTGCACGCACCGCACTCAACCAGTGAGCGGACTGGTCTCTATATGGGATCCAAATCCTCGGCGGGAGTGCCGCCGCGCTCCGAAGCGCCGCACTCTACCGAGTGCGCCACCGGGCCGGCCCCACCTTGTGCCTTTTGAGGGACCGCTCCGAGGGTGGGGCCACAGTGGTAACATGGGGTGGGGGTCACAGGCCTGAAAGATCAGCTGCCTGGGTTCCCTGCCAGCCCCCTTGCCCACGAGCTGAGCCCCCTGGGGCAAGTCAGTCCCTTCTCTGAGCCTTGGTTTTCTCACAGGGTTTTAGAGAATAAGGTGTGTATGGTGCCTGGTGTAAGAGCTGTGCCTAGGTGGAGGCAGCTGTTATTTTAGAATGCAAGCTGTTACTTTAGAGTCTTTCCTCCCATTTAACAAGACTGGCAGACTCAGGCCCAGAGATGGAAAAGGAGGCCCCAATCCCCACTCTCAGGAGCCAAAGTCGGGTTGTGAATTCAGGGTATTGGATTCCAAGCACAGAGGACTTTCTGCTGGGTTAGGCTGGAGTGGAGGCCATTTCCCAGAGAGCGCAGTGAGCCCAAATTGAGGAGGTCTGGGCTCTAGCCCCCATGTGGGAATCTCCTCCATGGAAGGCACAGATCACAGACTGTTCAGGTTCCCACCAAATATGGAATTTGGGCTTCAGCATGGAACCTGAGGGGAGTACCTGGTCACCCAGTGAGGCTTTCCAAGTAGCCTGGCATAGGCAGAGGCATGCTAACACCACTGCTTCTTGTGTTTTCCAGCATCCGTCAGGACTTCGATGTCCCCACCAGCCACCTGATTGGAGCCCATGGATACTGCACACAGGTGAGGGGGTGCCGTGGGGCCCAGAGGCAGCCAGGCGATCCTTCCCCTTCCTCCGTCCCTCTCTTCTTTCTTAGCCTTTGCCAACACTCTCTGAGCAGCGTTCACATGCCCACCTCTGCTGTGGGTCACTGGCATGGAAACCTAGGAGGAGAAGTCAGTTTAGCTTCTGTTTCCAGAGAGCTTGCAGGGCGCCTGTCTGTGTGCTTGGAGCTGTGGGGGATGCAAGGGAGGAGGATGCAGGCGCAAGTGCCACACAGCCCAGAGCCAGGACACAGGGAGTGGTACCCCAGGCACGGGCTGGGGACAGGGCAGCTGTTGTCATGACAACAATCGTTTCTCTCTGCATTTTCACAAAGGGGCCCTCAAGGCCCTCATGGGGGGCAGGAGAGACCCTGAGCACAGCTGCTTGTCATTGATCTTCTAGTCATTCTCGTGACACCAGGGAAGGGGCCTGTTCAGGACCCTGTCTAGTGAGCATCAGGACTGGAAGCTGATTCCTACACCTGGCTCCTGTCCGTGCCTTCCTCTCCCTGGTAAGGCCTCCCAGAGTGACAATAGGGGCCACAGTGTAATCAGATCCTCAGCATGTCCAAGGGCCAAAGTGTGTCACACAGGTCCAACTGAGGACCCAATTGTCCCGGAGATCCTGGCTTACTTGTGCCCAGTTCTGGAAACCTACCTGGATACTATGTAGGGGAGAGCTCAGGCCTGTGATCTGTCCAGGGTACCCATAAAGGGACTGTGGGTTGGCTGATGCCCTCCTTCCTAGAGGAAGGCCTCAGGGGAGTGGCTGCTTGCTGGCTGCCCAGGTGGCCCACTGTCACTCTGGGTGCCCCACGCAGCTTCTTGTGGAGGGTAGAGAGTAGTCCTGCCCCGGGGTGGGCTGTCAGGTGGGTGCAGAGGATGGCCGACCATTCCTGCTCTCCGTTTGCCTCACAGGATGAATTGGGACAATCTTCCTCCCCTTCAGGAACTTCAGTTTCCTTCTTTTTAGAAGAGCGATTTGGAACAGACCATGGCTTCTTAAACTTTGATGTGCACCTGAGTCCCCTGGGCTCGTCTTCCTCCCCTTCAGGAACTTCAGTTTCCTTCTTTTTAGAAGAGCGATTTGGAACAGACCACGGCTTCTTAAACTTTGATGTGCACCTGAGTCCCCTGGGCTCGGATGCAGTATGTCTGTGCTGGGGCCTGAGATTCTGCATTTCTAATAGGCTCCCCAGGAGCACCGTGTGCGGGTCCACAGAGCAGCAAGGCTAGATGGCTGCTAAGCTTCACTACCATGTGACTTTTGAGTCTGGAGCAGGGGAGGCCTGGCCCCTCTTCTCCCCCATCTCAAGGAGGCTTTCTGCTATGAGGAAGATTTGGACATACCTCAGATTAGGGAGCTGGGTGTTTTCTTCCCTCTTGAAAACCAGATGAAAAAACGCAAACTCACCAGAAAAGTGCTGTCTTTCTTAGCAGCTGCCACCCCTGAGGTGCAGTATCTTAGCGCAGACATTTCCTTTTCTCATTTCCTCTGCAAGGACACAGTGAGGCCTCCCAATGGGAGCCCTTCTGTGGCCATCAGAGGAGGCCTTTTTCACTGTCACTGGGGCAGGGGGTGTTGGTGTTAATGGAGGGATTTATTGATCCCGGACGTTGTTTTCACAGTTCAGGGGAAAACACTTCTATAAACTCTGTCCTGCACAGTAAACTCTGCTGGAGAAAGGGTGTTCATGACCATTTCTACGTGCTGTGGGAGAGATGCCTTCTTGCTTGCCTCATAGTGGGGGAATGGGCTGCTCGCCTGCCTAAGCACTGGGGCTGGGCTCATGCGAATCCTTCCTCAGCAGAGCAGTGGGCACTTAGAGGCCACCCTTCATCTCGAATCTGTGTCCAGGCAGGTGGTACCATGAGGATAGCAAGGCAGGGGAGTGGGAAGGGACACCAGACAGGGAGCCATAACATGTGGGTGGAAGTTCAGCTCTGGCACTGACCAGCTGTGTGGCTTGGGCAAGTCCTTTCTTGCCTGTGAGCCTCAGTTTCTCCATTCCTAAGACCTCCAGATACCCTCTATCAGGAAGCGGACTTCTAGAGAAACGATGTTTCACATGTCACCATCTCCGGGTTACAGGATTGCACGCTTGTTGGCTTGCTGGGCATGTGGCATGAGTCCCAGGGCTGCCAAGTGCCTAATGCCATACAGCAAGACAAAGGCAGAGACAGAGCTAGATCACAGACTGGGTATCCTGCTTCCACCTCTGCTTCTGCTCCTCCTGCCCCCAAAGTCTCTTCTTCTGCTCTCCATACCCCTGTTAAAACCCTACTGTCACTGGTGAAATCCAGGAGAAGCCTGGAGTTTAGCCGGTTTCCTGGCTGTGGCAATGTGCTCTGTTATGTAAGATGTTATTGTTGGGGGAAGCTGGGTGAAGGGTACACAGGAACTCTGCACTATTTTTACAACTTCTTTTAAGTCTAAAATTATTTCAAAATAAAAAAGTTTATTTAAAAAAATACCATCCTTCAAGACCCACCCAAATGTCACTTCTCCACAGCTGCTCTGACTTGGTCATGTGGTCTTGTGTCCATCGGGGCCCAGAAAGCTCTGTTGACACATTTCATAGCCCCAGTCATGTCCTACATTGCCCTGCAGCCCTGCAGCCACACGCCTGACCCCCCAGTCTGGACCCCAAGGTCCCAGGTCAGGAGCCCTGTCTTACACTTCTGCAGGTCCCCCACAACAACCCAGGGCCTAGGACAGCATCCCTTGTACAGTCTGTGCTCAATGAATGATTGTGGAGGAAAGACGGTTGGCGCCTAGAAAAATTGGCAACTTCCCTTCAGGGCCTGTGGGAAAATTGGAACTGCGACCTGTTCTGACTCTAGTCTCTCTCCCTCCTTGCTTTCCTTCCTTCTCCACCCTCTTCTCTTGTTCCCAGCCTCCCCTCCACCCTTGCAGTAGCTGACTCAGAGACTGGACGAGCCTTTCACCTATCTCTCATCTACAGGAACTTGTCAATCTGCTCTTGACGGGGAAAGCCGTGTCCAATGTTTTCAACGACGTAGTTGAGCTGGATTCTGGGGACGGGAACATCATGTTTCTTAGAGGCATTGCTGCACGCAGTGATGTCGGCTTCTTATCTCTGTTCGAGCACTACAGCATGTGCCAGGTACCAAGACGCTCACATTCTCCAAGAACTGAGGAGCCTGGCTCCCTGGGGCCAATGAGAAGGAGGAAATGGGGGAGAGGAAAGGTGGACTCCAGTTCCCAGAGCTGGTTGGAATTCAGATCTGGTCACAATCACAGAGGGTTTGGGAAGTGCAGCTGCCCTGCTATGGAGTACAGGCATGTAATGCAGACCCAAAGCCAGCTGATGCTGTGTCTGGGAAAGATTGTTTGAAAAGGACTTTTAGGGATTTATAGTGTGATTATGGGTTAGAGTGGCTGCAGCTGGGTGTGTGTGTGTGTGTGTGTGTATGTGTGTGTATGTGTGTGTGTTGGGGGCGGGGAGGGGTCTTCTCCAGGGACAGGAACTTGAGGTCTTGGGCCTTGTATTAGTTGGCTAGGGCTGCCACAACAAAGTACCATAAACTGGGTGGCTTAAAACAATAGACATATATTGTCTCAAAATTCTGGAGGCTAGATGTCCAAGATCAAGGTGTGGGCAGGGCCGTGCTCCCTCTGAAACCTATGGGGAGGATGCTTCCTTGTCTCTTCCAGCTTTGGGTGTCTCCTGGTAATCCTTGGCAGTCCTTGGCCTGTAGATGCATCACCCCAATTTCTGCCTCTGTTCGTCATCACGTGGCCCTCTTCTCTCTGTGTCGTCTTCTCTTAAGTGGACCACCTCACTGTAGTACAACCTCATCTTAACTAATTATATATGCATCAACCCTGTGTCCAAATAAGGCTACATGCTGAGAGACCATTGGCTAGGATTTCAACGTATCTTTTTGGAGGACACAATCCAACCCCTAACTGACCTCCCTAGGCCTGTTTGCTGGTGTGTGGTCCCTCTGCCTCTCTCCCTGCAGCCGGGATCCAGGAAGGGGCTGGGCCCCAGGTGAAGCTGGGCAGGGTGGGTGACTGTGCCTCTGGGGAGTGTGGGCAAGGCAGAGGGGAGCTGGGTAGAGACCCTGCCTTCTTGTCCCAGCTGCCACGGAAACTCCTCTGAGCCTCTCTCTTCATGCCTCCAGAGAGTCCCTTCTTCTGTGGTTGACTGTACAGACAGGGCTGTCCTGAGACAGCAGCAGGAGCTCTTTATGTGGAGCCTACCGCTGCAGAGATTCCTGGAGGGTCTGCACAAGGTCTCATTCATCATGCACCCCCCAGAACCAGGGCACAGAGACTGACCCCGCAGGGGCATTCACCACTAGGGAATGGATTTGTAGGGTGGGAGGAGACCAGGACTCAGGCCAGGGCTCAGTTTCATTCCGTCTTTCCCGTGTGACCACATGTTTGGGTGTGCTGCCCCTTGCTAATGGACCACATGATGGTCCCCATCCAGAGATCCCCTCTCTGTGTGAAATCTCCAGCGCACAGAAAGCAGACTTGTGGGTTCCAAAGACTTGAGGAGAAAGAACAAGAGTGGCTCCTTCTTGGTGGTGCTCATGCCAGGTGGAGCCCAGGGAGCCATGTGGTCCGTGATAAGCACCAGGGCTCTTGAGCATCAGGCCCTGGGTGGACCCTGCAAGTATTCAGCCTGAAATTCCACAAGCCCAGAGAGGTAATCTGGTCCAGGCCTGCAGAATTCCCAGGATTACCATGAGCCCTGGTTTCACTCTTGTGTCAAGGCTGCTGGTCAAAAAGTAAACTATTTCCTTTGGTCTGTGGAAGGTAATTCATGGGAAAGTCAGTCGGGGTCATCCTTCCCTTGGAATGAAATGGCTGTTAAGGAATTCAGGCCCTACACAATCTCCTCTTCCTCAGGGATGCCTTGGATCCACAGTGACCCCTCTGCTTTCTGTGCTTGGCTGAGCTCTGGGAGGGGTTTTGTCTTTCTGTGGTAGGAGGGTACTTCCCTCCTCTCCTCCTGGTGGCTCACTGAGAGCTGGGCTCCCAGGCGGGGGCTGGCAGCTCAGACAAAGCACTTTCCCTTCCTTTAACAGCACCTGCTATCCTTTCTGTCCCCGAGTCCCTTGGCCCTACACATTGGACATGAAGTCCCAGGGAGGTCAGTGCCCAAGCCCAGAACTGGACTCAGAGCCAGAGCCCTCACTCTGTCCTGGCCTGTCCCCTGCCCTGGGCAGCACAGACACAGCCATGGGGAAGATGTGGCATTGGAATAGCCTGGGCCATGACATCTGATAAGACTGGGGGCTTTTGTCCATGTAGGAAGGGAGCCAGGCATCTCTGGGCTTCTTGCTGCATCCTCTAGCTGGGAATCAGGGTTCTGGAACCCTCACTAAATATGTGGGGGACTGGGGGGGATGGGAGGTCCTACCTGTAAGTGAGCATCTTAGCTGACCCACATTCAGGGTGTGCCTGGGGGAAACAGGGTACTCGGCCAGAGAAATGTGCCCCCTGCCATAAGTAAACCAGCTTCCTACTCCATCCTGGTTGTGTCCTATGGGGACCTGCATAAGCTATCTGTGACCCCCCTGGGATCTAAAGGGAAAATGAGCTTGGCAGGGAGGGTTCTGAAAACTCCATCCTCTTCTCATCTTCCCCAGCCCAGTGAACAGCATCGTCCACACAATTACTCAAACTACGAACAAGTTCACTCCATAGGAGGCCACGTGGCTCCCACCCTAGGCTTCTTCTCAAATCTGTCCACTTTCACCCTGGTCCAAGCTGCCAGCATCGCTGGTCTGGACATTGGCGACAGCCCAGCTCATTTCTGCTTCTGTCCCCACCCCTTCTAATCCTGTCCCTTCATTGGAGCCAGTGTGATTTTTAAAAACGTAGACACAATCATATTGTTCCTTTGCTTGACACCCTTCAGTGGTTTTATGATCCTCTGAGACTGTTACGAGCTGAATTGTGTTGTCCTAAAATGTATGTGTTGAAGTCCCAACCCCCAGTACCTCAGAATGTGACTGTATTTGGAGATAGGGTCTTTAAGAAGGTGATAAAGTTAAAATGAGGTTACAAGGGTGGTTCCTAATCCAGTATGACTGCTGTCATCATAAGGAGGGGAGATTAGGACCCAGACACACACAGAGGTAAGGCCATGTGAAGACACAAGGAGAAGCCAAGGAGAGAGCCCTCCAGAACCAACCCTGTCCACACCTTGATCTTGGACTTCCAGCCCCCAGAAATGTGAGAAAATAAATTTCTGTGGTTTAAGCTCCCCAGGCTATGGTATTTGTTATGGTAGCTCAAGCTGACTCATACAAAAACTAAAATCCAGAACTTCCCATGACCAAAACGCCCCACCGCCCCTCCCCGCCCCTCACCGCCCCTCACCACCCCTCGCTGCCCCTCACCGCCCCTCACCGCCCCTCACCGCCCCTCACCGCCCCTCACCGCCCCTCACCGCCCCTCACCGCCCCTCACCGCCCCTCACCGCCCCTCACCGCCCCTCACCGCCCCTCACCGCCCCTCACCGCCCCTCACCGCCCCTCACCGCCCCTCACCGCCCCTCACCGCCCCTCACCGCCCCTCACCGCCCCTCACCGCCCCTCACCGCCCCTCACCGCCCCTCACCGCCCCTCACCGCCCCTCACCGCCCCTCACCGCCCCTCACCGCCCCTCACCGCCCCTCACCGCCCCTCACCGCCCCTCACCGCCCCTCACCGCCCCTCACCGCCCCTCACCGCCCCTCACCGCCCCTTGCCGCCCCTCGCCGCCCCTCACCACCCCTCACCACCCCGCCCCTCACTCTCTCTCCAGTCCTGGCCGTCAGTCATGTTCCTCTCCTCTCAGGTCTTTCCCACCTTGGGGCCTTTGCACATGTTGTGCTCCCCACCTGACCTGCTCGTCCCTCTCTCCTACTTATGACTTAACTGTTATGTCCTGAAAGGGAGGGTGGCCTTTCCTGCCCTCATCGCTCTATCTAAATAGAGGTTTCTTCTCGTGGTGCCCTCCCCACCTGGTCGTCCTCCATCACAGTGTCTTCATTCTTTCCTTCGCTGGCCTCTTCTCAGTGTCAAGTATCACATTTCATCTCTTTTAAGACACAAACTTTCCCCACATGTGAACATTTCTGAAGTTTTGATGTGTTATCACAGTTGATGGTGTGTCAGACTCTGGCAGCTTGCTTTCTTAGTGATATAAAAAACAACGGCCAATCTGATGGCACCTTGGATTCAGTGAGTGCAGTTGGAATGTATTTGTGTGATTATTGACTTCTTTTTGCTGTCCTCATTAATACAGTAAACTCCTTAGGGGCAAGACTATTCCTGTTCCCTTCATGCTACGTCCCCACTGTCCAGCACAGTGCCAGGGATGAAAGTATAAATTATGTTGACTGAGCGTTGTCCTTAGAGACAACAGCCTATGACTCTGCCTGCAATCACATGTTGGTCCTTTTGAATGAGTGCTTCTAACCTGGCAGTCCACAGATGACTTTAGGTCATACACAACCTCCTCCAGAAGATTGAGAGTCACCATTTAAAAATAATCCCTAATTGTGCTGCATGTTCACCCACTGGGAGAAAGCCTGGGACTGTGCTGGAGGAAATGTGGCCTCCACCTCCCCCTTGCCCCAAGCCATCAGTTACCCAAGAATCCAAAGGAAGCAAATTTCATCTCTGGAAAATGTCACCCACTTGGAAGAGGGCTCCTGAATGAGAAAACTCATTTATAAACTCTGGGCAACTTTTTTGCCCTTAATCTTTTGACTATTATTTATATGTGGCAAGCTGCCCTTTTGTCCCTCTGCTGGAAACTTCAGCATGGCTGCTTATGCGGAGGCCTGTTCCCTGGCCAGCTGCGGGGCTCTTTCCCTGCCGTGAATGAGCACTGGATCCCGTCTTCAGGGCTCTGTGTTCTAGGTGATACCCTCGCCAGAAAAGCCTCTTTTGTTCATGGAATGGAAGCCAAGTTTGCGGTGGGGTTTAGACACGTCCAACCACATCCTTTAAGGCATCTAATTTCCCCACACCCAACCGAGGGGCAAGCTCTTCAGTCACATTTTAATGTCACACAGGGCTGGAGTGAGGGCCCTGGTGGTAGTGGGGGCACTTGGACAATAAGAAAGGGCTAAGTATGTTGCAAAGATGGTCCTCCTGCCCCCTAGAGGAGCAGTCCTTAATGGACAGGTGTTTCACTGGGGACCTGGTTCAAGACCTTTGGAACACAGCCCCTCTGTCCATGATGCCTCTAGCCCAGACTTAGCTCTGAGGTGGGAGCTGCCTGGCCGCTCTTCTGTGACGGGATCTGGAGAAAGTATGCCCTTCTCTCCACTGGAAAAATAATTCCCATTCTTTCCTTAATCCACAGGCTATGGCTGTAAATACCTAAGCATGCAAACATCTCCCTGGGGCGGGTGGGGATTAGGCCAGAATCAGCCTGGCCCATTGCACGTACATAGCTGAATAAATCTGGGCCCAGGGTGGGGAGTGACACTGTTCAAGGGAGGGGACAGAGAGGGAGTGTAGAGGGCCGGTTAGGCATTCAGGGGCTTCCCAGGGGTCTCTCGCTCATGTTGTCCCCACCGCAAGCAAAACACTAGCACTGTGCTCAGGGCCCTGATGCTTGTTCTGTGGTACCTGTCTTCCCCAAACACTCTTCCACCATGAAATTCCGCTGCTCAGAACTTTCCAGGGAATCCCTCATCAGAAGAAAGCTCTCACTCCTTTTCCTGCCTCAGCTCATCTTCCTCCGCTGCCTGTCCTCAGTGCCCCATTGTGCCCTGAATTTCTCTGGCCACTCCTTCCTGCCGTCACCCACAGACTGCTCACCCAGGCCTCTTCCTCCCGGCTCCTTGCAGCTCCAATCCTATCTGTCTTCGAGATATAGTTCTAGTTCAAGTCCCACTTAATTCACAAGGACCTTCATCAAACGTTCACTTATACCCTGGGCCCTTGGTGCTAAGGGTATAGTCTGGCGAGCAAGAGGCGGAGTGAGGTGCTGTGGTCGAGGTGGGTGGGTACCTAGTGCCCCCTGGGAGCTGGAAGGAGGAAGTGATCCCTGCTCCCTGGTTGGGTAATTTGGGTGGTGCTGGCTGTCTAAGGGGTGGAGGGTTCTAGACCACTGGACAACAAATGTGAAGGCGTGGGGCCTTGAAGAGCTGGGTTAGTCTGAGGAGCGTGAGAAGAATTGGTTGAGAGGTCATTGCCCGGGTCCAGGCGAGGGGGGAGATGTGAGTAGACCTGAAGAGCAGAGGCCATGGGTGAGGGAGCTTTCAGATGCAGAATGTGCAGCATGAGGAACCACGAAGTGTGGGGTGAAGGGGAGGGATAATGCCAGGTTTCAGGTCTGCATGGCAGAGGCCCCTTGAGGTGGCAGGGACAGGGATGATGCTGAGAGACAGGCCTGGGGTCTGAGCAGCATGGGGGCTCCCAGCACCAGACACAGACATGATCCCAGCAGGGTCTCTCTGAGGCCAGCTCTGTTCTGCGTTGGACAGAAAATGCCCTGGTCTCTTTCCCTGCCACGGCATCTGGCCTTAGGCCTCTCCTTCATCCAGGTCGGCTGCTTCCTGAAGACCCCGAGGTTCCCCATCTGGGTGGTGTGCAGTGAGAGCCACTTCAGCATCCTCTTCAGCCTGCAGCCGGAGCTCCTGCGAGACTGGAAAACCGAGAGGCTCTTTGACCTGTACTACTACGATGGCCTGGCCAACCAGCAGGAGCAGATCCGGCTGACCATCGGTGCGCCCCCTCCCCACCTCCCCAGGCATCCTCAGGGACCTCCAAGGCTGTCCACAGAAGCCAGCCTTAACATGCCCTCTTGGGATAGTCAGAGAACAATGCAGACGTGAGCTTCATCTGTTAGAGAGCAAATGTTAGCAGGGCCCTCCTGCAGGAAGGGCCATAGCTGGGCTTGGACCAACTGATGGCATTAGGGTGTAAGATGAAGTTGAGACCCCATGGAAAAGAGCCCTGAATACTATGCTGACAAATTTGGACTTATTCTTCAGGCAATAGGGAGCCATGGAAGATTTTGGAGCAGGGGAGTGATAAGATCAGATGTGTTGTAAGAAAGAATATTGTGGCAGCTGAAGTGGGGCACAGGGGTGGGGTAGAGACTGTAGGTGAGAGAACAGTGTGTTGTGCAGGTGAGAATTGACGGACAGGAATGGGGACGAATCTAGTCGAGATGGAGAAGAGGGGATAGGTACTAGAAGGGTCAGGACCCAGAGTTACATATGTCCGTGCTGACCTCACGGGGAGTGTGGGGCCCTGGGTTGATGTGTATGTGCCTCTCTCTCTCCCTCCTCCCCAGATACCACCCAGAGCATCCCTGAAGACAAAGATAATGACCTTGTCCCACCCCTCGAGCTCTGCATCAGAACCAAGTGAGTCAGGCCCATCTCTGGCTTTTGAACCTCGTCCTGGATGGCCAGGAGGTGCGGTGGTTGGGATGGTCGGGCCTGCAGGCAAGAGGATGGTTCCTGAATTGCCCTGACTCCACAGATTGGAAACATACAGTGTTTGGGGCTGTGCCTAAGCAGGATTCCCACTTGTGGTCACTGTGGCCCAAGTAGAGGAGTGCGGGATTTGCATGGCAGTGTGTCTTCAGATAGCTTTTGAGATGTCCCCATGGGGTGGGGCGGGGGAAGTGGGTGCCTCTTAAGGCCCCTCTTCCCCCAAGGCAGCAGCAGCCACCAGATAGGCCTAAAGGAGGAAGAATAGGCATGTTTCCTGGTGGAGGTGGAGCAGGCTTGAGCAGCATTGGCAGGTGGGATGGGCTAGCCCAACCAGGGGTGGGGGAAGTGGCTGCCAGGAGCTGCAGCACCTCTGCATCCAGAGGAGGTGGGAGGAGTGGTCTGGGCCACTCAGCACACTAAGCAGAGGTGCCTGGAGCCTCAGCGGTGGGCAGGGGACCCTTGACTCCTCCAATCCAGCCCCTCTGTATTTAAGAGGAGGCTGAGGCTCAGGCCAGTGAAGGAGACTGCCCAATCCGTGGGGCGGGTTGGGGTTCACTTCCCCAATGGGTTCTTTGACCATGCTCCAGGGCTAGGGGCAGCATTCGGGGGGGCTGGTGGGATTGTAGCTCTCTGGAACCCCCAGCTTGCTCTGCTGGCCCCTCACCAAGCCTCTGGGTAATGACTTGTTGGCCTCAGTGTGCAGTGGGAGGGAGGAGACCTGGATTCTAGTCCCTTCCTCTGGGGAAGTGGCAGAACTGCTAGCCATTCTGAGTATAGGTCATGGAGCCAGGCTGTGCTGCTTCCTGGCTGTGTCCCACTGGACTTCCCATCCACACCTCACTCTGTCATCTGCAAAATGAAGGTAACAGCAGTACGTGGCTCACACGGTTCTAGTGAAGAGTGCCTGGCACATTACTAACAGCTTTGTAGTGTTAGCTCTTGTTATTATCGTCTCAGCCTCTCATGGTTTGCTGTGACCTCAGGCAGAATCTCTGTTTCCCTATCTGTGAAATGGTTGGGATCAGGGTGGGGGATGTGAAAGATGCCCAAGGCACTGCAGTTCTGACTGCCTGAGATCCAGGTGGCACACCTGCAGCAAGCCAGCCCTTGAATGGAGCTGCAGAGAGAGAGACCGAGAGAGAACTCCCTGTGTACAGTGGAGACACCAGGAAGGCAAGTGGAGGATACAGGATATCCTCATCATGCCCTGTCCATGTATCAATCCATCTGTCTATCCGCCTGCCCGCCCCTGGCCAGGGACAAAGCATTCTTGCAGGGTCATGTGCCAGTGCTTCTTTCGTCGGGAGGATTAAGGGCATGTGCAGGTCGCTTTCCTTTCATGTACAAAGGGCCAGTCATTCCAAGTGATGAGAGAAGGGTGGTGGTGGGGAAAGGAGGTGACACCGGCCTTGGCACTTTGTGCAGGATGGCGTGAAAGGCCATAGGGCATCCTTCCTGCCAAGCAGGGCTCCAGACTCACCTGGGGCACAGCCTCTGCTCACCCGTGGACCCCTGGAACCCTTGCTGTAGGCCTCCATCTGACTCTGTGCTGCTGTTCCCCTCCCAGGGGGTGTCCCACCACCCCCAAACCTCTCCACTGCCCCTCTCCACTGCCAGCCCCGGCACCTCCTGTCGCAGATGGAAAATATGTACAGCATACAGGTTTAGGGACATCTGGAGTGGGGACTCTAGTTGTTCCAGACCCCACCCAGCTCCCCAGTGGCTGAGGGAAACCTGTATCTGTTTATGGCTCAGCTGTGGTGCTCAAGCATTAGGGGACATCAGAATCACCTGGAGGATATGTTAAAATACAGATGGCTGAGCGCCACCCCCAGGGGTTTCTGATTCGGTAGGTCCAGAGTGGGGCCTGAGAATCTGCATTTCTGTAGAGTTTCCAGCTGCTGGTGCTGCTCTGAGACCACACTTTGAGAACACTGTTCTAGTAACTGGTGCGGTAGCTCCTCCCCTCCCCTCCTCCCTCCCTGCTGCCTTATGAGAGTCAGGCATCAGGGGAGGCGCTGACCCCCGTGTCTGGCCCTCTGTGATGCACGGCGGCAGGGGTGCTTTCTTCCTGGCAGCTCCCAGGTCCCCGGGCATGAGTGTTCCATTGCCTGCTAGGACTTTCCTGCACCAACTTCTTGCCTGTTCAAGTTCCCTGGTCCCCCCCGCTGTGGCAGGTCCACCTGGGCAGTTAATGCAGTTAGATTCTTCCCAACGTTGTTCCCGGAAAAGCTGAGTGGATGAGTGGACAGTGGGAACACTGGATTCCCCGGCTCAGTACCCATCAGATAACATCCACTGTAATGGGAAACAGCAGGCCAGCTCCTGGAATCCTATTCCAAGGTGTTGAATTACAAAGGCTCTGCGTTTTTTTTTTTTCATCCCAGATTCTCAAACAGCTCCAAGGGAGAAACTTGGGAAAGTGGCCTGCGAGGTCACTGAGGACCCTCTGGAGCTGGGTCCTGCCTCTTGGGGGTGAGTCCTGCTGCTGGGAAGACTCTGCCCGGTCAGCAAGGGGTACACGTAGTGCCATGCCCCAAGTGCAGGCCATTTCAAAGGCCAGAACCAGAGTCCAAGCACTGGCTGAGAGGCAACTGAACACTCAGGGCCATCCTGTCCACTCTGCTGGCTGGGCTGGTGGTAGAACAGACATACCTTGGGGGCAGGTGGGTCTTCCATCCCATCATGTCCACCCTCATGGAGCACCTGGGCTGATCTCCATGGATGAGACTTGGTTCCTGCTCTCAGAGAGTTCACAGTCAAATAGAAGTTAAGTTCAGAATCAACCCTGTTCTGATCCAGGGGAAGATGCACTGTCCACCCTCTGACCCAGCTCTGTTGCCTTGCAAGAACCCCCATCCCACACCTGATCCAGAACAGGACACTCCATGTAGCTGGCCATCTGGAGACTTGCTTGGATCTGCAGAAAGGTCCCTGGACACACCAGATATAGCTCCTTCTTTTACAGATGGGGAGACAGGGGTCTCCAGCCACACCTCAAGTCACAAGCAGTGCAGAGCCTGGAGCTTAGGCCCTTGCTGTCCCAGCCCAGTGGGAGGTCACTGAGCAGGCAGTGTGACTTCCCACCACCTGGCTTTGTTGCTGTAGTGACATCATACAAGCCCAGACGGCTGGTTGTGCCTTTGGAGAAGAACATCCTAATTCCAACCATCCCCGGGTCCCGTGCCCTCTCTGCTCTCTGGTATGATGCACGTCTCGGCCTGAGAAAGTCTCCTGTTACCTTTGCTCATGTCAGGAATGTGGGGTCTGTCCCCCCATCCCCTCCCCTGCTGCTCTCTAACCACCTCAGCAAAAACAGACTCATCTGTGGTCATTTCCAAACAAGACACACACAGTGACCTCTGTCAGGCTTCCAGGCTAGCTCAAGTGAGAGAAAATGAAACAGTTGTCAACAGTTCAGAGAGAAGAGGAAAGAACTCATAACCGGAGCCATCTGTGGTCATTTCCAAACAAGACACACACAGTGACCTCTGTCAGGCTTCCAGGCTAGCTCGAGTGAGAGAAAATGAAACAGTTGTCAACAGTTCAGAGAGAAGAGGAAAGAACTCATAACCGGAGCCTGAGGCTGAGGCGCAGATGTTTCTGTTTGGAGGCTCAGAGAAGAAATTGAAACTGTAATTCTAGCTGGGAACAGTGCCCCTGAGAGGCTGGGGCAGAGCACCACCCCCATCTCCCATCGCAGGAGCAGCCGCCCGTGTCCACACCCACTGTTCTGTCCTGCTGTCTGCACACACCTGCCTTGCATGGGCCTAAAGTTGTCATGTTGCATGAACTCCAGAAAGTCTGATTTTGCCCTGGGCCTCATTTTCCCCACCCGTCAACTGGGCATAACAATGATCCCTTCCCTGAGCTGCTGTGAGGTTGAGAAGAGCCGCTGAAGCATTCCCTCTCTTTTGGAGACCCTTGGGGCTCTGCACATGTGGGGGGAGGCAGAATCAGGTGGTGGCAAGTAGAGTGAGAGCTTGGGAGGAGGCTGAGAGGAGGGGCTGAGAGACAGTGGCAGTGGGCTGCAGGCAGGACCTTGTGACTTCCTGGATTCAAGGGCAGGAGAGTGAAGTGTGAACCAAGACCAGGCTTTCCCTGTGGGATGCTGGGAGGGTGGGGTGCTCCAGAAGCAGGTGGCCAAGAGGAGCAGCTGGAATGGAGGGGTACCCCTGGGAGCCCAGCTCTGCTCTCCAGCCTGGCCTGGTGCTGAGGGGGACTGCCTACGGCCTGGACGGAGGACACTTCTGCAAGGAGGTATCCAGGACTGATCCTGAAGGATGGCGGACCGGGGAGGAGGATGTTTGCTTCAGGTGGAGGGCACTGCACGGGCCGAGGCCCCCAGTGGAAGCGTAGCCCATGTGGCTCCTTCTAGAGTAGCTCCTGGTTCCCAATGGCTGGAGCACAGGCCTATTTGTCTGGAAAGTCCAAGAGAGTGAGAAGAATCCCTGGACCTATTTCTACCAGTCAGGAGCTTCGAAACCAGGCTGCCCTCTTTTCGCTGAGACAGCCTCTGTCAGGCATTGCCCCTGCGCGGGCCCCACCATGAAATATACCAGATTCATCCACATTGAAAATCTGTTGAGGCAGGCAACTGTCCCTCTGTTGCAGCGATTGCCTCTGGGGGGATGGGTCTCGTCTGCAGCCATGACATGTCCCTCTTTGTGATGTTGAGTCGACTTGAGCTCAAGGGGTCATGGTGTTTTCACCAAGCTCAGCCTCTAAGTTTCAACAGGTGTTGATTTTGTGCCCTTGGAGTTATTTGACTATGTCTGGGGACATTTTCAGTTGTCACAGCCGGAGGAGGGTGCTAAACATCCCACAATACATGGGACAGACCCCACAACAAGGAATTGTGCAGGCCATGAGCCCAGGGTGTCAATGCTGTCCCTGCATTGTCCTCTCAAAAGCATCTCCATCTCATCCTTCCCTTCCTCTTCCTGTCCTGATTGCTGGTGTTTGCATATGCAGAGCTCTTTTTACTTGTCCTTGTAATTGACTCATAGACTTTCAGACCCATTGTGGCTGGGCATGATTCATATAAGCATATATCTGGCATGTCTCAGCTCTTTCAATGTTTAAAACATCTCTGCTTTGATTTTCCATCATAACTGCGAACTTCTCCTCTCTGGTGTTTCCAGTATTCTCCCTGCATCTGCACCTGTTGGGATGGGAAGAGTTAGTTATCCCTGTAAAATGCCTTAAAACCAAGCACAAACCCAGCAACCTAACAGTAAGCCTCAGTGACTGTGGTGTGACACGGATATTGTCTAGCAGCAGATGAGTATGACTCACTACTACACTGAAGCATTTTGAGAGGATCCAAGAGGATTGCAAATTGGGAGCTCACTGGAGGAATTCCGGTTGGTCTGACTGTTAGAGTGGGGAGAGTGAAAGCTGGGAGGGATGGAGAGGGGCAAGGGTGAAGGGCCTTGAGGACCAGGCTGGGGGCAGGAATGTCACTCTCCTTCCTGCCCGCCTTTTGCTGCCTTGTATGATGAGGATGTGTTCCTAGTGTCCAAGACTTCCATGCTTACCTACAAATCTTAATAGAACAATGAAAGCTTTTAAATGACATGCTTCAAAACTGCAAAGATAATGGATAGAGCAAGAAAACTGAAAATCTCAAATAGCATAGGAGAATTAGTTAAACCCTGCACTGTTTTGCTGCAGATTGCTAAGGTACTATTAACCCCCTAGATGCGATAGGTCAGCCAGCCCAGTGCCGGGGAACCTGGGATCAGCACAGTGCCTTCCCAATTTGCCTTAACTCCAGGACCTGCTCAGTGGTGCAAGCTGGGGCTGTGGCCATTTTCCCTGCTGGTTGGACCTGTATTAGCCACCCTGGGACATCATCAGACTCCATCCCCAAATAGTATCAGCAGTAGGCACTCACCACCTAGGTGCAGTCTAATTTCTCCAAGCCATGTCAAGTTGTCGTCAAATACAGCCCCAGTGTCTCTTATTCAGGTAGTGAAGATGAATGCTGTTAAGTGGACAAATTCCATCAAAGTGGCTCAACCCCAAAGCACCTAACACATTCTTCTCGATCTGCCTGGGACACAGAAGCTTGGGAAATAGTCCAGAGTGCCCATATACCATAGAATCACTTAATCCCTCCACGTCCTGTGAAATAAGTGTTGACTTTTTTGATTCCCATCAAGAGACTGATGATGAGGGGAGGTGGGGTCTGTGGATAAGCAGGAGAGTGATCATGTGCCTCTTGTCACAGGTTTGGCCAGGAATGGCTCTTACTAAGGTAGTTCTTCCCACGTTTATTCTTGAAAGAAGATCTCTTCTAAAACCGTATGCAGATATTTTTGCACGTCCAGCTGTTTCTGAGCATTTATGACCAGAAAGATCCCAGGAACCAGATGGTTCTGGTGGTGCAATGGTACCTCTCAGCCTTTCATGCACGAAGGAAAAGATTGGTTGCCAAAAAGTCATACAACTCCATTTTGGGTGAGATCTTTCAACATTGCTGGGTATCACCAAATGACACTGAAAAGAATGCAGAGATTGTTTTGGAAACAGTTCCCCAAAACAGTATAACATTCATGGCTGAGCAGGTTTTCCATCATCCACCCACTCCAGCCTTTTATTCTGAGTGATTTTTTTTTTTTTTTGTGACCGGTAAGGGGATCGGAACCCTTGGCTTGGTGTCGCCTCCACTGCGCTCAGCCAGTGAGCGCACCAGCCATCCCTATGTAGGATCCGAACCCACGGCCTCGGTGCTCCCAGCACCGCACTCTCCCTAGTGAGCCACAGGGTTGGCCCTTATTCTGAGTGTTTTAACAAGAAGATACAATTCAATGTTCACATATATGGACACATCAAAATATCTTGGATGTTGATTTGGGTGCACAGCATAGGGCAGGGCTGTGTCTTGTGTCTAGACTATGAAGGACATTACACCCTCACATTCCCCAATGGTTATGGCAGGTCTACCCTCACAGTGCCTGGGTGGAGCTAGGAGAAGAATGCAGTATGGATTGTTCCCAGATGGACTGTATGCAAACACCATCTTCCACACTAAACCAAACCTTCCTATGGGAGCAGGAAGCACAGAATTGCTAAGATTTTTTTTTTTCCTTCAGCTGGCAAGAAATCTTTTTGCTCCTTTCAAGGGAAATTGAATGGTGTCAAGTGCACAAAATATGTAACAGGGTAAAATACAGTCTCTACAGATACCAAGAAGTTGCAACTAACCAAAACAAAACAAAACAAAACAACCCCCCAGTAAGTTGGAAGATCAGAGTGAATGGGAATCCTGCTTCTTCTGGAAGGGGCACTTTTAAGCTAAAAGCCAGAGACATTGACGCAGTGATTGAAGCAGAGCACAGACCTGAAGAAAGACAAAGAGTAGAACTCTGAGAAAGGCAAGAGAAGGAAATTCAGCGGGAGACTAGGTCATGCCATGAGGACGGAACCATTGCTGGAACCTGCTGGTGCTTCCAAGCATTCTGTTGGGAAATGCTTCACTGAGACCCTGGGAGAAACTGTTCACTCCCTCCCCGTTGCAGCTCCAGTCTCAGGGCTGCTAGACTCTCCCGTTCAGAGTACAACTGAAGCAAGAAAAGCTCCCCTTTCTTCCTCCTCTGTAGCAGTTAGGATTTTGACTTCAGTCCTGAAGGAGAACTTCAGATTTTGAAAACAAGATGTCTTCTCCCTCCCCAAACCGCACACTTTGGAAAACATTTACTGTAAATCCCAGTCTCAAACTCTGCACTGTAGTCCTACTGTTCAGATGTGCGACATCTGTGTCCTAGTTCTGATAGCCTTAGGGTATAAGTACATGTACAGCACACCTAATGCCAGACTTTGCATAAATACTCCATCTGCTATAAGTGTGACTCCTCTGAGATGTTTTAGAAAATTAGCACTCTGTATTAAAATAAGTGTTAAGAAATTTCATGATGTCTCCTACAATAACTTTTGTTTTGGAACTGAACTACTATTAAATTGTATCTAACCCTGGGCTGCAGTTTAACTATACTTCTTATGGCTTCAAAAAGTAATTTCTAGAAAACCTATTGTGTTACTGTTGTGCTTACAGCCCTTCCTCACTGGCTGGCCATGGCTCTTAGAGTAAAGCCCACAACCCTCATAAGGCCCTGTTGGCTCCCAGCTCCTTCCTGCACTTGTGTCCCTGTCTTTCTGGCCTCCAGCCACTACACCTCCTTCTGTACTTTGGATACTCCAGGATTTCTCCGTATCTGGGTCTGCGTAGGTGCCTCTGAAGTGTCACCATCAGGTGCTGCTGGAGAAGCGGCTGGGTGCAGGTGTGTGTGGGTCACTGCCATCAGCAGAGGCCCAGCAGTGCCAGGTACAGAGCAGGTGGTGGCATGGATGAATGCATCACCTGCCACCTCTGTCTTCCCCATTGCTCCCCAGGGCCCTGGGTGTATTTTTGTTTGATAAGGCTGGCATGTGGGTCAGTGTGTGTGAGTGTGGAGGGGCAAGGAGGGCAGGAAGGAACTGGAAATCCTCATAGTGAGGGCAACATTTGGGCTCCTGTTTGGGCCCTGAAGCTATAACTCTCTTTCTTTTGTCACTCTGCCCATAGGTGGAAGGGGGCATCTGTAAACTGGAATGGCTCAGACCCCATCCTGTGACTCTTGGATGTGGGTAAGCCTATGGCTCCACCATTCATCATGGGGGTGACAGCTGAACCCCAAGCCTCAGGGCAAGTCTCCGAGGACCGTGTCACCCCCACCTGGGCCAGCGCTGCTGCAGAAGCATCCAGAGCCTCCCTGCCCTTTCCATGAAGGGCCTGCCTCAACCATGATGGGGGCCCGTGTGCTGCTGTGGTTCCCTGCCAGCTAGCTGAGACTGCCAAGGACCAAAAGGAGGCCACTGGGGTCTCTGCTGCCTTTTGTTGTGCTTTTCCCTTGCTCCCCCTCACCAAGGCCTCTGATGGTGTGGGCCTGAGGGGCCCTGGGCACTTGTTATTTTTGCTGGTTGGCTTTCTATAAAGAAAGAGTCAAACCCATGTTGAGGGTTGAGACTCATTTGTTCTGTTGTTGGGAAGGGAGAACCAGGTCTGCATTCATCATGGCTGGGATGGGGATGGTGACAGGTGGAGGGGCTCAGAGCCCAGGAGGCCAGTGGGCTGAGATGGACCCTAACAAGGGGCTCTGTGGGTAAGCAGTGCCCTCTGGTCCAGCGCCATCCCTGGCTGGGTTTCCTGGTCCATCCTGTCTGGCTCACCATCAGCACAGGTCTAAGGCACCAGGCTACATAAGCTGTGCTGTCCAGGAGCAACTCAGGGCAGACCTGTATCCCTGGTGAGGCCCATGAGGATGGAGGTGGGCCTGGAGGGTGGGCTGGGCCTGGCAAAGGCAATGTGGGAGAAAGAGCCTTCCAGGGGGGGCCTCTCAGCTGGGGAGGGGGAGGTGGCGATAGGATGGGAGTGGGCAGCTTGTGTGGGCGTGAGCCCCTCACACACCAGAGCAAAGAACGAGATAGGAATGGGGACACCCTAACCACTTGAGGGAAAATTGTACAGTCTCAACCTCGTTCATCCCATTCCATTTTTTCCTGCCAGTTTTTGAAAAGGAATACAAGAAAATGTAGAAATGCATTTTCTGCACAACTGGTAAAGAGGAAAGAGAGAGGTGTGAAACCAAACACAGGGGCTGCTCTGCAGTGGTTCACAGGATTGGGATGGAGTGCAGGAGCCCAGAAACAGAGCACTAGCCTCCAGGAGTTTCCATCATGTGGCTGTCCATGTGAGAAGCCATGGCAAAGCCCTCAGGAGCCACCATCCCTGTGCCAGACCCTGCCTGTGCCCAGTGAATGCTTTGTGACTTGAGAGGCTGTGCAGAGGTGGGGGTGTACCTACGGGGACCAGGGGATGCATTCTTCCTGTGTCTGCCTTGGCCCTGGAAGAGGCCTGGGGGAGTCGTGAACACTGGACACCAGCCTGTCCCCAGCTTCCATGTGCCCCTATTGGGCTCAGGACACAAGCAGGTTGAGAGCTATGTTCCCTCTGCAGTGCTGGCTGAAAGGAGACCCCTTCTTTTGAGGTGCCAGGTAAGTGAGGGGAGAAACTGGCATTTGGTGGTGACAACCAAAGAGCTTGTCCTGTGTCCCTGTGCACTGGACACATGTCAGTCTTTGGGGCAAGGCAGGGAGGAGCCAGCCGGACTGGAAAGCGGGAGGGCAGGGACTGCTTTGTCCAGACTGCGCTGAGGCCCCGTGGGGTTTGCTGTGTAAACTCCAGCGGCCATTCACAGCAGGCTTCCCACAGAAATGCTTCCTATATATCCCTGAAATGTTTATGCATTTGTTTTCCTTGGCCGGGTCGGGCCGCTGCAGCTGAGCTCCCCGGTGAGGAAGTCGGTTTCCCTGAAGCAGCCTTGTTTATCAGCCCGGGAAGGAAAAATGTGCTTTTCAATAAAACTCACCCCTGAAATGTTTATGCATTTGTTTTCCTTGGCCGGGTCGGGCCGCTGCAGCTGAGCTCCCCAGTGAGGAAGTCGGTTTCCCTGAAGCAGCCTTGTTTATCAGCCCGGGAAGGAAAAATGTGCTTTTCAATAAAACTCACTTAACCTCCTGACCAGGGTCCCTTTGGCAGGGCTGGGGAAAACAAACTATTCCCAGCGTTGCTTGAGAAGACCAGTTCCAACAAATAACAAAAGCACTTTTCTAAAAGCCAAGATGCAGGTAGTGAGCAGTTTGACACCTCTCGCCTAGCTTTTCCCGTAATGGAAGATGAGCAAAGCCCAGAACCACCCTTTCCCAGACCCAGGAGCTAGAACGAGTCTGCAGGACTGCCATCCAGCCTGCAGGAATGATATACAGGCCCACGGCTCCTCCCACGAGGGCATTCTCCATCTGGGGTGCACAGTTTTCTAGGCTTCAGAGGGTCCATAGCCGTGCCTCACCCCCTCCATTATATGAAAAATCTTTGTGTTCATGTACATATGTGTTAAGGGTCTATAGCCTTCCTCATGGCCTTGAACTTGGAATAACACCCCCCCAGGTTCCCCACAAAAGGTTACAAACTGTGTCCTAGAGTTGAGTGGCTTCCCAAGGGCCAGGCTTGGGCTCAGTGACTCCATCTCTGCTCCCCACGTGCTCAGGGGCTGGTTATGGAACAAGCAGAGCTCAGTAGAGTACGACCAGAAAGCAGCTTTGTTCTTCTCCCTGCTTCCCTTCGAATCCTCTTTCTCTTGGCTGTTTCTCAGTCTCTGGATGAAATGGCAGGCTGATTCCGTTGTTTGTCTGGCATTTTGAGGAGTGAGAGACCAGTCTAATGGCCACTAACACCAAACTCTCATCAGGGTGGTTTCCCCTCCCTTGCGGGGGCCATTTGAAGAGAGGAAGCTATGGCTGGCTCTTTTTCACTTTCCCGCCTTGCCCCAGGAGTGCTCCCCATACCCCCACGCTGCCTCTGGCTGCTCTGGGGAGGAGGGCAGGTCTGGTGCCACTGCACGCATACGTACGGAGTGCTGCTTCTTCCTTTGTGAGGGACCTCCCATCGCCGGGTGCTCTCCGGAGTCAGGCGATTCATCCTCCACCCACTGCTCCTGTCTGGAGCTTGCAGCCCTCTTGCTAGAGCTCACCTCCCCTCCAGTGCCTCTTTAGAAGACCTGAGTCTTCCTTCTGCGGGATCCACACTTGAACCATGCAAAGCACCCACACATCTTTGCCCCCAAATTCTGCAGGTCAGGCCTTTCTCCACTTGGCCCTGTCTGCTCAGCCACCATCGGGTGCAGTGCCACCTCAGCTTCTCACCTTTCCCCTTCTCCAGGAGGGGTCTGGGTCATGCCGATGAGAGTCCCACACTCTGGGGACACGACAAGCTTCCAAGCAGTTTTCCTGAAGCCTTCCTCACGTAGCTTTAGGAGAAGAGATGCAGCCCCTCCTGCCCCCATGGCTGGGGGAGGGGACACAGCACCCTGGCACCTCTCCCCACAGATGTCCTCACTGGCCACCAGCCTCTTCAATGGGAGCATGATGCTTCACCCTCTCCCACAACAGGAGGACAGCTGTGGGCTGGCATTGGCAGAACCCCATGCACCTTTCTCTACGTTCGGCACAGAGGCGGCACAGGCAAGGACAGCAGTTTGCAGAAGAACTGCAAGAATTCTCTGGGGGTCAGTGCTGGGCCAGGGCTGGGAGGGACGATGGGGATGTTCCAAGGTAGGGGTGCATCCACATTCCCTTGACTGCTCTCCAGGTCTCCTTGTCTGAGCCCAAAGGGAAGGCAGGGGCAGGAGTGGGGCCCAGCCCACCCAAAGACTTTAGCGGTGGATGAGGGGCTATAGTGCCTCCAGCCTCCTGAGAGAGCCGGAAGTGGTGAAGGGCCAGATCTCAGAGAGCCCTCCACGGGCCCTTGGCTCTGCTGAGCAAGCAATGGCGACAGCAGGACTCTTCTGCCCTGGCCTAGTCTGCAGCTTCGCTGCCTGGGGTGTGGTCCTCAGACCAGGAGTGTGGTCCTCAGGCTGCGGCATGGCCTGAGGGCTTCTTAGCGAGGCAGGGTCTCAGGCTCCATCCCAGACCCACTGACCAGAATCTGCATTTTAACAAGATCCTTGGGTGAATCAGAGTTCAAGTTGAGGAGCTATGCTCGAGAGCTTGTGATTTTGTGGGGAGACAGTGTGGACACACGTGAGTAGTCCGCAAGATGAGTAACTGAAGGGATGTGCCAGGGGGCGCCTTGTGGGTACGACAGGAAGCTACACTGGGGCCGGAGGGCTGAGGTTAGTCCTGACCCCACTGCTCCCTACTTGTGTGTGTGGCCTTGAGCCCTTGACACAGGCTCTCTGGGCCTGTTTTCTTGTCTGTAAAATAACAACCTTACAGGGTTGTAGTGAGGATTGAGTGAGTTAATACATTGTGAAGCGCTTAGAACAGGGTCTGGCACATCACAAGGACTCAATAAATATTTGCTCTTAGTATTTCCATGGGGTTAGGAGAGGCTCCTTGGAGAGGGAAGCATCTAATCTAGGCCTTGAAGGACAAGGAAGATTTTGACAAGTGGAGACTTGCATAAGACCATTCCAACTGAAAGGGACAATGAGAGCAGAGAGACATGATGTCCGTAGGTGTCATCTGGGTGAGCAGGTGAAGGCCTTAAGCCATGGGCTGGGGCTGGGACGTTTCCTCCAGGGGAGGAGAGCTGCTCAGAGCTCTGCTTCAGACCTCTCTCCCTGGCAGGGGAGTGGCGTGTGGGGCAGAAGCAAGGAGCGCACTGAGGGGTGACTCTGGGGCTCTCAGGGAAGAGGGTGCCGATGGAGACATGGGGGGATGGAAGTGAAAGGCGGCTCATGGTCTTTGCTACCAGAGGCCTAGTGGACAGGGATCCTAAGGTTGCAGGAGGCAATCAGGCTGCCAAGTCTATTTGCAGGTATTTCTCTCCACCCTCCAGAGTGCTCTCTACTCCCTAATCATGGCCTAATCCTCATGGGGCTGTGGGAGCTGTAATTCCCAGGCAGAAATGCTAGGCATTTGCGATAATGGAGATTGCTTAATGCAAACTCCAGGATGACAGGGCGGGTTGGTGGGTGGGCAGGCAAGTGGGCAGACGCTGCCCATGCCTGCATGTTGGGCAGGGCCGTGTGCTCCCAGCAGACCTGTATGCACTGAGAGGGATCAGGACCCCGCCAATCAGGGGATTGGTGGCTATCAAAGCCTGCGGTGGCCTTCTGACCCTTCCTTTCATGCTATCTCTTAGATTGTGGCGCTTCATCCCGCCTCTTGCTCACATTCCCACAAAACACCCTGTTCCTCCAGGGAAGTCACTGAAGCCCTTCTCTATACAAATGGGAAAACTGAGGCCCATACAGGCAGCCTTCGTTAAGAGCCCACCTGAGACATTTCTCTTTCACAGGGGTCTCCTGGAGACCAGACCACCAGAAGGTCTTCTGGCTGGAGGGAATAATCTGAGGGGAGGGCCAAGGGTGGGCAGTGAGTTCAGTCTGCCTCTCTTCTGCCTCCCCACCCCATTTCCCCCTCCAGCCCTATGCCCCACCCACCTGAGAT